TTTTTGGAGAACTTTTTTTTTTTTTTTTTTTTTTTTTTTTGGTTTTAAGAGCCCTCATGTAAGCCGTCCATTCCGATGGTGGTAAGAGAACCACCAGAATCGAGGTCTTATCTGCCGGGCTGCTCCATCTATTGGTGGGGAGCGGCACCTGCTGGAAACCGAGTCCAGCGTCCCTCATATGCAACATTCAAAACAAAACATCCAAGTTGTTACAGCCCAGGCTATGCCTATGGGGCTCGTTCGACACTCCTCGGGGCCCGAAATTCCCCAAGGAAATGCTCGTTCCACTCATCCTCGGGGAAGACGCGAAAAAGAAAATGTGAAAACATTTCCTCGGGGATTCCTCGGGGATTCCTCGGGGCCACAGCCATTTTGGCGATTTCTCCAAGGGACCTCACGAGGTCCCTCGGAGGTCGAGCTTCCGGAAGAATCGGGGCGTCGACGACAGCTCCTTCGAAGACATTTTCCAATTCCGTCTGGTCCATTGGTGGTCCTGCCTGTGTCTCGACGGACATGTTGGGTCGCCAACGTTCGGCTTCACTCCAACCGTTACCGTTTGCGGGCAACCGGCATCCCCAACGTCCAGAAGGTGCCGTCTTGCGTTGTCGCGTTTGGCAATCCGCGGGAATGTCCCAACGGTCGGCAGCTACAAATATTTCAGGCCGCACTCCAGCTCCCAATTACGCACTGAGCGTGGGAGACCGAAGACGTCCTCGGGGGTTTGTTGCGAAGTCGGGACGGCCGTTTGCAGCATTGCGCTCCGTTGTTATGTTGGCGCCCTCGTTGTCTTCCGTTTGCCGCCGTCGTCGTCGACTGTTTCATGGCTGACATGTTCTGCAGGCTGCCGCTGCTGATCCTTGTTGTCCTGTTGCTGCTCCTCGTGGTTCTCCTCCGCGTGTGCATCCTTGGGAACGTGCCGACGCGTCGACGCAAAAGAAGGTCTTCGATGAAGGACGCCAGGATGGAGGCACGGCAGGCGATCCCCCGGTCTGGTGGGGAGCAGGTCGGAGGGAGGCGGTGTGGGGGGAGCCTGTCGACCGTTGGCAGGGCCTCCCAGCGGGTTGGGTATGATGCATTGCCACCACACTTGCAACCACTCCCCGGCTCATTGGACGAGGAGGAGGAGGTGGAGAGACGACCACAAACCGTGTCGTTGGGCAGCGGATCAACGCCGGAGTGGACAGCCACGGAGCTGTGCGGGACGGGCGGTGGCGTGTACGAGCAGTCGTTCATTGAACTCCTTCGGCCTGGCCTTGGCGAAGACGAAGGAGATGGCCGCGTCAACCTGTCGTTTGGTTTGTCCACCGGGCGGTCTACAACTCCATCGCGCACAGTGCTCGTGCTACCCCACCCCGACAATGAAGGCGGGCAATTGACAGTTGTTGATCGATCAGCGAGGACGAGGGCGTTGGCGAGTGAGATGGCGGGAGCGAACCGGAACTCGTCGACGGCCCAACCACGGGCGGCCTCTCTGTCCAAGGGCGCCCAGGGTCGACCGGAGTGGATGCAGTTGCCATCTCCCCTGTCTGCGGTGTCAGAAGTGGTACGAGGCCGTGGCGTCGGAGTCGACGGCGGGACCGACTTCTTGGATGTTGGTAATGGTTGCGACGGGAGGGAGGTGTGCAGGGACCTGTGGCGGGATCACCCGCTGCGGCGAGAGGAATACATCACACGGGGGCTGGAGCGTCTTCACGTGGGAGACCGGGAGAACGAGAACAAGACGGACGATTCACCGGCGGAAGCAGACGACGACGACGACGACAACGACATAGAGTGTGGGGAAAGGGGGGGTGGTCACACGTCGCCATCATTGCAGAGCAACATGGCTGGTAAGGGTGGGAGTCCAAGCCTTCCGGCCGCAATGCTCGTCCGCAGGCGAAGAAAGGGCAGGGAAAGGGGAGCGGTGGCGAAGGCGACGGTGATGCGGAGGAGAAGCGCAACTTCTGGTCCGTGGAACACATTATAGCCCTCATAAGGGCTAAACGTGACCAAGATGCGCATATGCAGGGGATGGGCCACGCATATGCACAGATGAAACCGCAGGAATGGAAATGGCAAGATGTCGCCCAAAGGTTGAAGAACGTCGGCGTGGACAGGAATGCGGAGAAATGCGGGAAGAAGTGGGACAATCTAATGCAGCAGTTCAAGAAAGTCCATCCCTTTCAATCACCGTCAGGGGGTGCCGACTTTTTCCAGTTGACGTCGAAGGAGAGGGCGAGCAAGGGCTTCAATTTCACGATGGATCGCGCAGTTTATGACGAGATAGAGGGGTCGACTGGGATGAACCACACCATCCACCCGAAGAACGTGGCAGACACCGGTGTGTCTGGCAGCGTGCGCCCGCCCTCGACGTCTTACGTGGATCCTGAGTCGGTGGCGGACGGGGAAGAAGGTGCAGGGCGAGAAGACGACGAGGAGGGGTCGACGCGAGGCTCTTCCCAAACGACGGGCACCCCCGATGGTTCTAGGAAAATGAAAAGCACGAGGCAGCAAACTTTCGAGGCGCTGACGGAATGCATGGAGAAACACGGGGAGGTAATGGCGTCGACGATGGAGAGTGCAAGCAAGCGGCAATGCTCTATCCAGGTCCGGCAGTGCGAGGCGTTGGAAGCGGAGATGGAAGTGCAAAGGAAGCACTATGCCGCGTCAGACGAAACTAGCAAACTCATGTGCCACGCATTGTTGGAAATAGCGAAGGCCATTCGTGAGCGGCCGAGCAGCTAGGAAATGTGTTGTGCAATTGTGGAGTCCCTTGATGCCGGGGGCGAGTTGTTGGCTGGTTTCCCGTTGCAGTCGTGTTGGTAGGTGCGCCGTCATAGTCACGGCGAGGCTTTGTTGCTCGATCCCTGTACGCTGTTGCGGGTCATGTATGGTAGATCGCCATTCGCGCAATTTAGTGTTGTCGTTGTAGATTGCCTGTAGTGCTTAGAATCTTGTGGACAAATAGTCCCGTCATTGCAAATTTGTAACGTTGGGTGGAACAGTGCGGGAAGCAGTTGCCTTTTTTTGTACTTGATGGTCTCTCTCTCTCTCCCTCTCTCTCTCTCTCTCACACACACACACACACACACACACACACACACACACACACACACACACACATACACACACACACACACACACACACAC